TCATCAACTCAAGAAAAAAAATAAAAGAGAGAGAAAGGACAGACTAACTTTGATCTCTCAACTATTTCTTACATATTTATTGTCTCTATTTTTAATGCTATCCACACTAACATATATTATTATTAATATTTTTTTTTCTCTTCTTCCTTCGGCTCAAGAAAAAGAAAAAAAAAAAAGGAGACGAGACAAGAGTAGCATGACAAGTTAAGAGATGTCGGATTAAATCAAAGGCAAAACTAATCACTGACCTAAAATTTAAAAACTAATAATAACATATTTTACTAGTCTAATTATTTTGGATCGATTACATGTATTTTCTCTTATCATCGTTAAGAGGTAATATATGTAGTTAATCCAAAATCATTTATTGTCTTTATTATTCTAAAATAAATCAGCTAATTCCGCTCGTCCTAATGGACTCACTTCGTCCAACCATATCATTGGTGGATCTCATTTTAATGAGTTTGCAGGGCCTAAACATCCCTTAAACCTACACATTTCAGTTCATTAAACTATGGAAGCGACTACGGGACGTACTGCAGAAATCAAATTCCCGATGCTGAGTCTTAACATTTTATTGTCGATTTGTTCATGCCGTGTATGTATATAATATGTCATTATAATCTTCTTTCTTTATTCCAATTGTTACATAAACATAGATTGCGATCATTGTCGAGCTTCATCTTTTTTGACAAAAAGATTAGGGTATCTTTTTCATATCTCGAGTAATGATGTAAGATTGCATGGTATCCGATTAATATAGTTTGGTGCACTAATGATGTTGGCTAAACGTGATGGTTCGTTGCAATTATTTCCCACTATAATCCGAAATAATAGTCAATTATAACATAGGATACTCCATTCGCTGGATATTATATATGTATGTATGGTATGATGAAGATGCTATTATACTAATTGATTTATGTCTGCAAATGTGTTTTATTATTTATATATCATTGTCTAAAAGGATAACTACTATTAAGGTACTATTAGTGCCTATGTAGTCGTAAGTGGATGTGTTCCAACTTCAATCATTTACGTTATTCAACTCATTAGAATGTATTATAAAAGCAACTACATTAATGTAGGATAATATATTTTAAGGAGGGAAATGACAAAGATTGACTTATAAGTATTCATTTTATATAATGAAACCTCACACAAGTGCATTAATCGTTTTATTGCTTGTTTCTATGTTCTTATATGGAGCAGTTTTGGCTTACTAATCACATGAAATTGAAGATGCGATGTGTTATTTTTCCAGGCCAAAATTAAATCTTTCCCAAATCTCACTTATTGCAACAGCATGTCCATCTAATGTTGTTCTTTGCAACACTAGATTGAACTTAACTTAGCACAAGTCGAATCTTTATCTCATGTTCTCGTTTTATAGTTAATGACGTGATTTAATGCTCCATACTATATCTTAATAGTCAATCTTTACTTATTTTACATCTTAAGCATAGATCTTATTGTGATGTATCAAACTCACATATCAAATATTATATTAAGGATTCAAAATCTCATCAAATATATTCAAAACCTACCTTTCTTCTTCATTCCGTCTCCTTCGATCAAACAAGTATCTTCGTGAAGCGATGAACACATTAAAGATATAAATTGATATAAATTGATTTATAATATATGTGGACTCACTCCGCGATCCATTTCTTAGTAAATGGTTGAAGGTATGGACTTCTAATTAATTGGATTCATCTTGGGTTTGTTTTTTCATATCTCATTCCGGGATAGATTCAAGCTTAAGAAGGCATAAAAGTTTTTCGGCATTATAGATAGTATGATTATAGATTTTATGCTAACACAGTCTAATATATCCAACTTTGTAATAGAGTAGTTGAATAGGTTTGCCAACATTCTCTTGTTGTTTAGAATCCAAGGTATTATTTCATTGGTAGTGAGTTGATCCTACTTCTAGCAAAGTCCTATGCAAACCTTTACCAACATTCATAATATTGAGTTTATATATATATATAAATATATATATATATATATATATATATAATAAACGATGAATATGATATTAGATTCCAATATCTTTGCATTAGGAATCGAAACTTTTACCAACCAAGCTAACAAAAAATCATCTTTACAAAATATATATGTGAAAAAAAATTATTTTATAGAGAAAAAGTTCAAAGTCAATAGAATTGTATAAGAGTTTTAGAAGATAATCATATTGAAACTCTGCTAGAAGGTGTCTTATTTAATTTAAATTTACGTGTACAAAAAGTTTGATGTGATTGGGAAAATGACTCAAATATTTATTGATAGTTAACTTATATAAAGATCAATATCAAATGAGGTATATGATGAGATTCCTTCATTATTCGAGGTAGTTATAAATTGATCTTTGTAATATTATTTGATGGACTTTAAAATTGGATTTATCTCAATGTAATACTTATTGATATAAATAAAATATTCCCTCTTGGATTGTATAATATCAGTTGAATGAGGTTCGTTCTTATCTGGTGACTGTCATTACATATTTACAATCTTCTCTTGTTTCTTTCTTATTTAGAATCTCATCTTTTTGTTTCATCCATAGTTATAATACTATCTACGCGATAAGCTTAGGCATGGATAAGCATCGGTAGCAGGGACGTCACCTCCGACCCGCCGCCATTAGAGCCCCCATGACGTATGCCGGCGGGGGCCGTCTCCACTCACTGTGCTGTGCTTCGTCGGTTGACTACGAGTCACCTTCCTTTCCCCGACCAGTCCTTCCTGATAGAGAATAGCCACATCTCTCCTTCTCTCTCTCTCTGTCATACACACGCTTTAATAGTTGCTTGATTGACAGCGGCGAGGCCGGAGAGGAGCACAAAACATAAAGAAAGACCGCCATGAAATAAATTCAATCCCTCTACCGCTTCCCACTTGTGTTTAGCGACAGCGTTGAGGCGTCGGTCAGAACACATACGTATCATCAAGTAATAATACTTCAGTACTCGTAAAGCTACTGGCTAGTCTACCGCTATCAAGAACCATGTGAAGGAATCTATCTACAGAAGAAGCTGCACAGGCTGAGGTGCTCTAAAAGCTATGGCTTAACCATGAAGCATCAGCATCTCTCAAACATGAGTGTAGGGAAGGCGAGTAGCAGAAAGCCTGCTGTATGATGACAAAAATTCGAGATGAAGGTTTGATGATCGACGTGAAATGTGTGTATTTTGACGTCGGAAGTATTCGACTGGATCTGCGCCAACCGAGACCAACATGAATACAAAAAGAAGAGCCTGCATGTGAGTTGGAGGGGGGCGTACAGTAGCAGACGATGGCGGGCGTCAAAAGGCAACATATACTAAGAAAAGACGGGCGTGGGGAAATGAGTCCGTCGGACGAGTGAGGATGGAGCACAGCTCAGCGGATGCGCAGTGCCGGCGCGCCTTGCGGCGTGTGGAGCGCCAGTTTGGGGGCGTGCCGTGCCTGCATGGCCTCACTTAGGTCAAACAGGCAGCCCTCGATCGACCAACCAGCGTAGTTGGAGAACACTTGTTTAATCATGCGGAAGTTTGACTGCATCCTCCTACTATTGTGTTGCAAACAGGAGAGGACCAGCGTGGTGACAAACTAAAAAGAAGAGGAGGAGGAAAGGGGAGGTCACATGCTGTAGTTTGCCGCAGAGAGACGGGAGGGTGGTGGCAAGTTCTTACACGGAACAATGTGTTATTTTGAAATCGTCGTCATGGATGATCAACCTCCCGCTGAGCATTATCATTTTCTTGGGCAAAGATGTGTAGTTGGAACAGATGTCCTGACAAACTTAGGCCCCCCTCATTCTCTTTGTGAATGTAGTCGAAACACAAGTTAAAGACACACAGCATCATCTCCCAGTAACTTTATTATACTGCCAAACCAAGTAACCTGTCTTTAAAGATGGGTCTCATGTCTTGTATGGTACTTGCAGTTTACATGCATGAGAGCTGCTTGAAAATGACATGCCACCACAAATTCTAAATGACCTGGAAAGACTAGTGATATCTTCTCACTTGATCCATGGGACAAGATCTTGCGCAAGCAAAGAACCTGCATTGCTTTGGATGCATTGTCCTCGGTAGCCAAACAACATCAGCTAGATGCTAAAAAGAAAAAGGAGAATGTGCTGCTGCTATATCTGCCCTCTGTTTTCCATTCCATGGCAGAAACATGTAGGAAGCAGTACGCTTGTGGCATAGAAAGGACTGGTTAATGCTTGATGAGCAGACTTCTATGGTGTTGTTGTTTGATTCCTTGTGAGCCACATTCCTTGTATGATTTGAAAAAGTCCCTTGTCCCTTGTCCCTAGAGGAAATAGTACCCAAGTAGCTGACATATTTAAGAAGCTAATTATCTCTGAGCTTTGTAGACCCAACACCAATCATCTTGAACTAATCATAAGTGGGGGATTACTGCTCTGTGGATGCAGCAGCCCTTCAGACGAACAGCAGTTAGTGTCATACTTAGCTGTTGCCTTTAGATCAGTCAAGATCTTCCTGGCCCAATCTGATCTATAACTTTAAGGATCTGTCTTGCATCTTTTTTATATTTAGCATTCTATTTATTTTTTCTAGATTGCATTTGGAAAAGTACTGTGAACATGAATGAATGAATGAATGATCAACAAATGCTGCAATTTGTTTCTCTCACCATCAACAGCCAAGAGGACTCTTCCAGTACCTCTTGAAGGAACTCTTGCACTATATGAGGCTGGTGGACTAAATCTCATCCTTTCAGCCAGCAAAGCAAACAGGGGGGAAGGTTGAGAGCAGAAACCTAAAGATGACCAATTAGGTGGTAAATTATCATCTTCATCATGTGAATCCTTGGAGTCTCAGACCACAAGGGGTGATGTTTTTATGTCAATTGCTTCCAAGAGTAGGTGACATCTGTCAGCCACAAGATGTGTAGAGTTTGGGGCTCTCATAGTCCATTGCGTGACTTGAAACTGAACTCAAATCAGAAGGAATTCAAATTTAACACGAGTAGGAGAAGAAAAGTTTCCCAAAGCTGAGAAGCCAAGTAAATTGAGTTCCTGTTGTCAAAAGTCAGTACTGAACATCCATTCCTTATGTACAAAGTGTATCAAACACTATGAATACAAGAAATGAAAAGAAAAGTGCACACCAGGACCATCTTTCCAAGCTGGCAATCACATCCCACCACTTTCTTCACCTTCCTTTGATCTGCTCCCTCCTACCTACTTTTGATGCAAACCTGCAACACTCTCTCTCTCTCTCTCTCTCTCTCTCTCTCTCTCTCATACAGATACTGAATCTTCCGATGGCCCTCCCCTGAACTGTACAGTGAAGGAGGGTGGAACACTTGGCCTACGAACAGGACTTGATCAACCCCAGATTGTACAGGTTTCTCCAAAAGAGATTTCCCAGGTAGAACAGCCCGATGCCGACACCGCCTGAACCCTGGGCCTCCTCGTCGCCGTCATCGCCGGCCTTGCTGCGGTATTGTGGCCGTTTCTCCTCCTTCACTGTAAGGTAATCAGCACCAATCCTCTGCCGGACGGCATCGACAGCCTTGGGGTCAGCCGGTTGCCCGGCAGCGTCCGAGGTCACGTAGAACACGCCCGAGGCCGTGTCTCCCTTGGTCGACACCTCTGCTCTCGTGACTAACAGGCCGTTCTCTCGGAACGTCCGTGTCACCTCCGAGAAGAGCCCTGCCCGGTCCTCGATGCATAGCTCTAGCCTTATACCCTGTTACCATCCACAAGGTTAAGCTATGAACAAGACTGCTCTTTTGGAGCTTTTTCTAATGGAGATGGACATGGTTTGGTTGGTTACCTCCGTTGCTCTCCTCTCGATGGCGGCTTGTAAGCATTGGATCATTCTCTGTCTCTCTGCTTCTGAACTTATGGGGCTGCCGTCTTTGTGCCTTATGTAGAACTCCTAAACAGAGTTAACAGAGACAATTAGTACGAGTAATGGAGAAACAAAAATCAAACCTTTATTCCATTCTGTGAATCTGATCTAGAAAAAGGTCGAACCTGATGAGCTACATCCCCGTCAGTGTCGATGGTGCCGTGGAACACGACGTATTCCATGTCCGTGAGCGTGCACATGACGTCGAACAACAGCTTCGGGCGGTCCCGGCACTGCACGGCGACGACGGAGTACCCCTTCTCGACCCAGTTTTGCACCGAAACGGCAGGAGATGTCGACGACGCGGCCGATGGAGAGTGTCGCTCGTAGTCGCGGTCGGAGAACATCATCTGGTGGAGACGGCGGTCGGTGTGGGCGACGGGTATGGACGTGACGGCGGTCCTGGCGCCGCAGACGCCGTTGTCACCCTTGAGGACGTGGCGGAGGCGGGACTCGACGTGGTGAAGCTGCTGCGGGTCGCCGTCGATGGGACAGCCGGAGAGCTTGTCCTTGACGGTGACAAGGCATGCGATCCGGCCGTTGTGGGTCCATACCTTGGCGTCCACCACGCCGCAGCAGAGGTCGGCTAGCACTGCGAAAACCTCAGAGAGGAGACCCGGACGATCGGCGCCGGTGAGCTCCAGGACGGTGAGGCCTTCTGCGCTGTCGGGCCGGTGGAAGTCGTGCTCCTTCATGTCCAATGACTGCATTTTTCTCAACGGGTGAGCAAATACTGTCCCAAAAGAACAAAGACTTTGGCTGTGAACACACGAGTAACAGAGGGGTACTCGGACCTGTTCGAGGTAGGAGATGACGCTGTCGTCGGCGAGCTTGCGCCCGAACTGGTCGGTGACGTGGAAGACATCCATGAACCAGCGGCCGTCGGAGGAGATGTAGGCCTTCTTGATGGAGAGGTTGAGGTCGGTAAGGACCTGCACGGCCTCGAGGAGGATGCCGTGCTTCCTCGCGCTGTCCACCTGTTGTTGATTGCCAGGTGAACAAAGAGGGAGAGAGCTCTGTTACTCTTTCTGATCCTTAAGAAGAAGGTAATGAGGAGATCATTTGGCTTACCTTGACCAGAGTCGCGGTAGGGCAGACGGCATTATCGATGACAACCCTGCAACAGAGAGCCGGAAACAGAATGGTGTTAACGCGAGTTTGAAGAGGACGAGGAGTGCTCCAAATCAAGAAAAAAGATTGAAATTGGTGGAAAAAGAACACATTTTGCGGAAGAAATTTCATCAGATCCGAAGAAGGCGCGGCGAAGTACTCGAAGTCGATGAAGGAAGAAGGGTGAATGGAAGAAAAGCAGTGATATCAAGTCACCTGGGGGTGTCCATCCGGATGATAAGCTTCTCGTACTCATTCAAGCACGACGGCCATTCCATCTCTGCCTCGCTCTCTTCGTCTCTTGACGCCACCTGACTACGAACAACCTCAGCTCACAGGAAGCAGGACCCCAGCTCCCCCTTCTCCCTCCTCGGGCTTAAGCTCTCTCGTCTCTCTCACCCACGGACTACTCTGCTCCTCCTCTGCTCTTTAATATGATCCCCGAACGGGAACAAGATGGACAAAGCACAGCGGCTTCGGAAGCCCCGTCTTGATCACTCCTCCACCACCACCACCACCAATAGCGGCAGCAAAAGATCCTTTATTCGAAGCTCGCTCTTCCTTAGAACCAATCGCCTCTCCTGATCTCTACAAGGAATGGCGACGGAGACGGCCCCGCCTTGGCGAGGTGGCGGTGCGACATATTTAAAGCGGAGACCGGCGCGGCGGTCGGTGTCACATGGGGGGTGGGGGCCACTGCCCGGACCAGCTCGCCAGCTAATCTTCCGACCCGAGTCAAACGCAGCAGCCACCCACCCCCGACACGCCCGCATGGGCCCCACCGCCCGCGGCACGTCGCCGAGATCTTTGCTTTGCTTTTGGTCGAAGACTGTGTCGGGTGCTCGCGTGCCGACGCCGAGGCGGAGAGAGAGAGAGAAAGATGAGTACGGCCGGCAACGTGGTTCGACGTGGGTGTGGGGCCCGCAGTTGGCGGACCCGACTCGGCTCGCATTATTTTTATGAGCGTGCATGGACCGGCCGCTCCCTTCCATTAGATCATTTTTCGAAGGTTAGGTATTAGGTAAGGGGGTTGGCGTCTCTAAAATTTAACGACACTAAATGCCTTATATTAGATTAAATAATTTTAGATAAGGACAAGACTCAATCTCGGATCTCATTGCCTGAATATTTTTATTTAATATAAAATTTTATTAATGAGTTAATTAAATAATTATAAATTCTTTTAAAATTTATTATAAAAAAAATATTATTGATATTTTGATCAAATGAATGGGATCTGGACATGTAAGATTTTTTTAAGTAGCTTGGAGGTTTTCAAAGTGTCTTTAGGTAAAAACATAAAAATCTTAATGTGCCACTTGCACTAAAATAGAAATCGAAAGATATTTCTTAAAAGTTCCTTTAACAATTAAGTTAGTAATTTAAGATCCTTTGAGTTCAAGTAATTAAAAATGAGTTTATCCTTTCCTTTTGCTATTCTTGATCATCATAAACGACGAGAAGAAATTTTATGATTATCTTTCTAATCTTTAATAACAAGAAGAAAGTTTATAATTGTATTTCTTGTAATAAATTACAAGAAGAAAGCTTTGATTTATCGTCCTTTATTGAGCACTATATGACAGTAACTATAAATCCCTTATCATTGTCCCCCTCGCGTCTCGAAGGTATGCTTTGATGCTCCTTGAGAGGGACTCGAAGTGTGTTGTTTAATTCATCCTACACATGAGTATTCAAAATTTTCTCATATGAGTCGGGTTTTTTTGATACATGAGTCTCGGGCACACTTTACTTTATGCCTTCACTATGACGGATTTTTCTTCATGAAGGTTGGGTTTTCTCGGCTCATGTGCCTTGAATATATTTTACCTTGTGCCTCCATTACGATGAATTGTTCTTCATGTGGGTTAAGTTTTCTTAACTCATACACCTAGAGTACATTTTACCTTGTGTCTTTATTGTGGTAGATTTCTTTTCATACGGGTTGGGTCTTCCCGACTCACGCATTTTAAGCATATTTGGCTTGGTGTTTCCATCATAACAGATTTTTCATTACATGGGTTGAGTTTTCTCGACTCGTATCTCGAGCGTATTTGGCCTTGTTAATCCGTCATACTTGATTTACCTCGGCATGAGTTAGGTTTCTCGACTCACACACCTCGGGTATATTTGACTATGTGCCTCCGCCATTGTGGATATACCTTAGCATGGGTCAAGTTTTCCAACTAATATGCCTCAAGCACATTTGGCCCTACACCTCCGTCATATCAGATATACCTTAGCACGAGTTGAGTTTCCCAACTCATACATCTTGGGCATATTTGGTCATACGCCTCCATCGTGACAGATATACCTTAGCGTAGGTTAGGTTTCCTGAGTCATACGCCTCGAGCACTTTTGGCTTTGCTCATTTGATGTGAAAATTTTACTTTCGTGCAAGTTGAGTTTCCTAACTCATACATCTTGGGCACATTTGGCCATATGCCTCCATTATAGTAGATATACCCTAGCTTAGGTTAAGTTTCCCGACTCATATGCCTCAAGCACATTAGCCTTGCACTTTCATCATGGCGAATTTTAAACCTTCCCATTGTGGCATGTTTCAAATTCTCCTTACATCGTGGAGGATTTTAAGCCCTCTCTCCATCGTAGTAGATTTTGATTCTTCCCACCATGGCGAGCTTCAAATTCTTTCTTAATTGTGGTGGGCTTCAGTTACGTCATTATGGATTTATCTTAGCACGGGTTGAGTTTTCCGACTAACACACCTCGGGCACATTTAATCTTGTGCCTTTGTCATGGCGAATATATCTTTATATGGGTCAAGTTTTTTGACTCATATGTCTCAGGAACATTTAGCTCTATGCCTCCACCGTGATAGATTTTGAACCTTCTAACCATGGCAAATTTTTAATTCTCCCTCCGCCATGATGGATTTCGAATCTTCCCATTGTGATAAGCTTCAAATTCTTCCTCTATTGTATCGAGTGTTAAGTCCTCTCTCCGCCATGGCAAGATTCAAATTCTCATTCTGCCGTAGTAGATTTTAATTCATCTTTCCACTATGGCAAGTCTTGGACCTTCCCACCATGATAGACCTATTGGATTTGTCCCTAAAGGGACACTTATCTTAATCACAAGAGGAGAGAAACTGATCTCCTTATAAATCCTCTCACCCTATAGGGTGGGATTCATTCCTCTATCTAAGCCTCTAGAGTCTTCAGTCTTTGGAGCCTCGAGAGTTCTCGACCTCATCCCCAAGGCCTTCTTAGGAGCATCTCCCCTCTCGCCCCAGTTCCTAGCAAGGCAGGTCAATTTTTGACTCCTTCATCCCGGCATTAGTTCTACTCTTTTGTCCCAGGTCATGATATTTCTCCTCTCTGGTACAAGTTCTTTCCCATCTGATACTTGCATATTTTATTCACCATCCTTTGGTATGTTACCCCTATATTTTTCAATCCAAATGGCATAACTCTATAACAATATATGTATTAGCCCATGATAAAGGAGGTATGTTCCATACAACAAGCTTGTTCGTCCTTGTTTGGTTATACCTCGAAAATGCATTTATGAATGTGAGGAGCTTATGGCTTAAGGTAGCATCAATCAACTAATTAATCTAGGGAAGAGGGTGTTGGGAAACCTAGACAAAGCATCATATGCGCAGCGGAAGAACAGAAAATACAAATCCTAGATTCCCCACATAAAAAGGTTCTTGGTGTCATGCTAAGATTGATACATGAAAAATCATAAAATCGAAAACTACGCATATGTGAAGATGTATTACCTAGAACGATCATATATCCTTGTAAAATCTCAAATCTATAAGAGTGGATAAAGGAGGTTAATTGTTCTTCTCTCTAATAGTGATCCACATGGCAGATGTGACAAAGATGCTCCTCAAATCACCATATGATCTTCCTCTCCATGCGGATCATGTGATCACCAAGGGACCTTTCATTCTTGCTGTCCGCATGCCCCAAACTGGGGTTATCAGTTGAGGAGGAGAGGGAGGGAGCAGAATATGAGGTAACAGCCAAAAAGGGTCCAGCCTATGCCCATTTGGTTCTCTCCAATTTATAATAGTCTCTATCAATTTAACCATAATAGATCATATCCTATTGAGTACTAGATCTTCATTCAACTACCAAAGTCTCTTAGTGGATCTCTATCTAATAATCTCTCATTGGCTCTTATTGGATCTCATCTATAAGATTCAATAATTCAGAGGTTTACTAGATATCCAATAAGATAGAGGCTCCAACGGATATCTCATATCCAAAAATTTACTCATCGCAACACCTATCATATGTGTGTGACCCTCTAGGCTCAATATCAAGCTGGACGTGAGTCATACTTATCAGAACTCTTTCTAGCTAAGTGAATTATTATCTCCATAATAATTCACTCGATTCATTGACTATGAACGTACTAAGCCACTACGCCGTAGTCCCGAGATAATATAGGAGAATCCAATTCATTTGACCTATCTATCTTTAATTATCATATATCTATAGTCCATCACCTATCTAATATCTCAAAAATCGTATACCATGTATGGTGATGTCAAGCTTATACAGAATCTACTCAAGTCTTGCTCTAATCGAATTCTCTAGAAAAAATTTTTCTCTCTTAATCCAAATGACCATAGTCAAGGATTTGCTTGAGCAAGAACACATAAAATATTCCTCTCATGACATTGAAAGCGAATGATCCTCTATCGACACTCAATTACCCTCGTAAGGTTGGTTGTCACTCCCGATGACCGATTGTGCTAGATTTGAAACTTCAAGACTTATAAGTCTGGTATCAAATATTGGAGCATTAATACAAGAAAACTTTGGTGTCTCAAGTTTAAGAACCAGATACACTATTGAGACTACGGAATCATTATTTGATAATAAGGTATTATCAACCAGCTATCATTTCATGAGCGGATCGATCAATGAACTCATTCTCTAATGAGTACCTATAATATATCCCTAGTGTCTCCACATAAGTAACTATGAGACTAATCGCCTTTATTATATAGATGGGTATCAGTCTATCCGGTTATCTTAATGTCCCTCTTGAGTAACCTAGGATTATTTAGGGTCTATGTTTAAAGGTGAATCAATTTTATTATCATGATCTCATCATAATCTGATTCTCACAAATCTATTGACATCACCATACATACAACAGACAACATAAAGTAAGAAAAAAATACTAAATAAATAATAATAAAAATAGTATGTATCATGTCACACGTGCTATCACTCACGTGATTGGCTTTTATGGTACCTATGACTAGTAGTACATCGAGAGGAAGTTAACTATCATAAACTTAGTCAACACTGTTTTAGAACCGAGTTCATTATCGAATGCGATGTGTAGGCTCATGGTCCCGAGAGGGGAGATGGAGTAGCAATAAACCTCTAAGCGAAGAAATTATAGGAGTGATATCATTAATCGAAAGATCAAATTTTTAAAAAACGTCAAAGTAGAGGATGTCAGCAAAGCTACCTACATCAAGAATCATATATATTCAACGATTGAGACTTCTTCATGAATCATTTTTTTCTTATTTGTAAGACGACCTCTGGTCTCGCCATGTTGAGGGGGGTCAACTCGAGTCTTAAGTGAGGTAGCCGCTAGTCATAGGTGCCCAAT